GATACTGGGAGCGGGTGTTATGGTCTGACAGCATTTTGTGTGGAGCCTCCTAAATCTGATTATGGAAGACGAAGAAGGGTCAGGTTGAGCACAAATGGGGAAGTCAACAAAATCTGGGAATGAAGCTCGGGCCTTGCAAATGAGATCTAGGTCTTCCCTAGCACAGGCCTGCCAGGAGCCTGGGGGAACTGTGCTTTTGCCAATTTAAGAAATGGTTGCATGTTAGCATGAAGCATCAGCTCTGCTTTTGTTATTAATATGTCTAGACTTCAGGTTCTGCAAGTTTTGCGTGAAGTACCACACGTAGCTGCTGGGATGAAGGAGATCAGCCTCTTGGGTCAAAAACATTAACTGCAAGTAAACAAGCTACTCCCCCTAAATCTATATCACAATATTTATGTGCTGGGGAGGTAAAAGGAAGGTGTGTGTGGGGGGGGATATGTTGCAAAGCCCTCACAATTCAGAGAATAATGAACTAAATCTTTGGACTGGAAAATGATGTTCGAAGGTCTGGAAAGGCAGAGGCGAGATTGCAGGTTACTGCGAACTCAGTAGGAGTTCAGTGACTGTTGCCAGGTGTGTGCATACACACACTAACACCTTCCCCTGTCGTGCTGGGAGGGCAGCCCGAGTCACTGCCCCCTTCCTTGGCCAGAAAATAAAGTGATATGAGGCAAGGACAGCACTAGTGATCTCATCTTCAATTTACCTGCTCGGGTCTTTTACAGTCTCAGAAATGCCAGCTGCTACAAGGCTGGTGATCTTGTAGCAAAATAACAGTATCCTTCCCAAGTCTCCCCTTTGTGATGCAGCAATTTTGTGGTTTCTGAAAAGGTCAAGCAGCATCATTAATGCACACTGTATGTCTGTGAAGGCATCTGATTTCTTAGTGAAATGCTTTAGTGTGTGGAAAAGGATGTCTTCCTCTGAATGAGAAACTTGGGTGTTCCCTAAAACTGAAGGGCAGAAGAATAAGTTGGCGCATTGTCTCCACTCCGGTTCGTCATGGAAGTTGGACCTTTCTCATTTGAGTCGTGCCAAGTAGTGATGCCTGAGGGAGGTAAATTGAGTCAGAAATAGTGTGCTTAAAAAAAAAAAAAAGAAAAAGAAAGAAAAGGAGACTCTTCAACACTTAAAACTTTAGGCTTTTTATATGATTGCTTTCAACCTAGCCTGAGACTACATAACTCTTTGGACTTTGTAGGAGATTAAATCCAGTCCCAGGTTTTTCAGGTAAGGTTATTGCTCTGCTCCTAGGCTGTCCCCTGAGCTGTCTCTGGCTATTTCTAATTAAGGGTTAAAGGAAGCAGTTTCTCCTGATGTCAGGAGTAGCATGAAGAAAGCGGTGAGCATTTCTGTCAGTACCGTGGGGAGGCTGGTGCCGCAGCCGCCTTCTCATCAGGCACCAGCGTGCCTGGGCTGTCTTCTTCAGGCGGCTCTCATGGGGAGCCACCAAGGTAATCTGGCAAAAGGTGCCACAACAGATCAAAATTTATTAAACAGGTTGAGACGTTTGGCAATCCATTGGTATTCTGACTTGTAAAATAGCTGAGAGTGAAATTATCCAAAGTATCCTAGAAGAAGCAAAGAAGGTAGGGCTGCTGTGACTGTGCGGTGGTGGTGGTGTGCTGAAAGTGCTTTGAGCCTGAGACACTGGTATTTAGACATATTTCAATGGCAAGTCCAATATGTCTCCTGGCATATACTAGGGCTGAGACAAATCAAAGTGTGTTTGTAAAGCAGTGTGCTAAATTCAAGATAGTGTAATTTGTATAGTACAACATTTACTCATATATAACTTTTGCAAGTGTTCGAATTGTTACTCATGCTTCAGTTCATGTGCTTTAAGCATGAATTTGAAACAGATGCAGCATTTTAAAGATAACAGTATATACTTTAAAAACTATTTAAATTCATCCTTTTGGAGTTTGACCTGTATGAAACAAATATAAATGACGTGGACTTTTGAGAGACAAATGGCTGCATGTTCTTTGGTTTCCAAGTCATGCAGAACTGCTTCATCATTTTGACCCATACTAGTAAAACTCTTCATCAATAAACTGATGTACGAGCATACATAACACACAACACACACACACACACACACACACACACACACACACACAGAAACACATACACACACACATATATATATACACACCAGCCACATACACACACATGCTCCAGTGAGGAAGAAATCTTAACATTTTCATGAACTTGTTCTTCATGGCTTAGCTATGGAAAAGACACACTGTAAATTATTAGAAAGGTAATTGTGCATTTGGAATTGTTTTAAATTACACATTTTTTAAAAAGAAAGAAGGAAAAAGCTATTTAAAAGAATTATTTTCTATTAACTGAAGTGTTTGCAATAAAGAGAATTATAGCACTTGGCAATATTCTCCTCAAACTAAAATAAATAAATACATTTGGTGACATACGTTCAAGGATATGTGGTTGTTGCAATGTTCATGCAAATAAGGAGCAGCCTCACAAATGCTAGCTATTTTGCCATCTGGTGTTACCAAAGGAATACAACTCTCAACTTGTAGTTCTTCCTAACTTACTGCTTATAGATGGCATATTAGGCATTGTCACACGGTTTTGCCATTTGCATAATCATTCTGAATTATTGCAGGTTGTGCATTGCATTAGCAACAGCAAACTTCTCTTTCAGGAAGGGGGTTCAGAGATCTGACAACTTGTGTCAAATCAAGTATGTCTCCATCAAATAAAGGAATAAAAATGTCCTTCCACTTTAGAAGTATCACACCAGCGCATTTTTAAATTTGTATGAGTCCTAGTGAAGAATGTTGTACTTGTTTACTTCCTAGATACCGGGTAGAGATCAGTATTATAATTAATCTCAGGAGAGCTGTCTGTCTCCATTTGACTGCAGGCTACAGCACAAATGCAAAGCGCCTCAAAGAGTCAGGAGGTTCTGAATGAGGAAATGTGGCTGAGGATGAATTTGCAGATCCCTGCAATTCCAGGAAAACCCAACCCAACAGTGATTATTCAGGGTAGCAGAAGAAAGTCTAGACATAGAGATTGTTGTTACTGATAGGAGTACACTTAGAGAGCATGAAGCAGTAGCTGAGGACCATTGCTCACGTAGAAGTAAATGACAACTCCTCTACCTCTGGGCTCAACAGTGTGTGGAGTAGTGGACACTGGCACAGGTTGCCCAGGGAAGTTGTGGATGGCCCCTCCCTGGAAGTGCTCAAGGCCAGGTTGGACAGGGCTTTGAGCAGTCTGGTCTGGTGGGAGGAGTCCCTGCCCATGGCAGAGGAGTTGGACTGGATGATCTTGAAGGTCCCTTCCAACCCAAACCATTCTGTGATTCTGTCTCCGCTCACAGGAACCCCATGGGTGGGCCTTCGCTGTCCCCTTCTTCCTGGAGGAAGGCATTTTCTGTGCCCAAAACTCTACCCCTACAATTGCCTCCTCATGACACTGCTTCTCAAAGCAAGGGTGTTTGTTTGAATAACATGCATTGCTCATGGAAAATACAGGATAAAACCAAAAAAACTCAACCACCTGTAAGTGGAATAAACAAACTGGTAGTTGGAATCTGTCTCCAACCTGTGGTACAAAAACCCAGTGTTTCACAATAAACCCCCCATGCTGGAGAGTCCTGCTCAGTGTTTGGCATCTGCCCTCAGACCCATCAGAAGAATACTCCGCAGTCCAGTTCAAGTTAGCAGCATTAACAAGAGAAGATCTTGTGTTCATTTGGTGATTGCTGTGCACTGTTTTTAAATACTAATAACATCTAACATATCCAATGTATTTTCAGCTCTCTCAGGTCTTGAATGAGAATCAGATAGCTGTTGGCCTTTTTACTGCCTTGCCTGAGGCGTACTAGGTAACGTCACGTGGGCAGCCGATGCAACATATGTTTTGCTAACTGGGGAGCTGGGTAGCAAGACAACCTTTTTCTTATTAACACATGGTGCACTTACATGACATTACTATATATTTCTACTTTACAGATTTACAGTGCCAGAATAAAGGCATTAGCTGAGCTAAGCAAAACAGGCAATCACCATACTTGTCACATTGTCCTGAAATAACATGTAAACCTTATTAGAAACATTGGTTTATTTTGTGAGGAGAATAAAACACAACAGACTGAAATGTGCAAGTCTGTATTGTTGGGGAAATTTGGGAAAAGGATTCTCTGGTTTATGTTGTCATGCATTAAACTAGAATTCTGAAAAAAAAACCATTAATTTTTATTTTGGATGTCTATATTGGAGCCAGACTAGTTCATTTCTAAAAATTAATACTGTTGTGTAATGCAGTGATTTTATTCTCTCTCCAACTACACTCTACCAGCCATACATACACTATCGTGCCAGTATTCATTTATTTATGCTCTGAAGTTGTGATAGTGTCAAATCCATCAGAAAGAGGAATTGTTTCAGTAGCAGTTTCACGACTTGGATGATTAACAGAGATCAGAAGCAGCAGCCTAACTGTGGAAACCACTACAGCATGTAGTTTTAACAGCTCTTTAGGGAGCTAGTTAATGAAAGAATCACTACAGAAACACATCCATGTGAAAAAAGGAGCATTCTCATACAACACTCAGAGGATATGTCATAAGTGGAAATATGTTCATAATTTCTATTTACTCATAGCTGTAATTACCATCTGCCTTAAGAGTACTTTCAGTCTTTGTCAAAGTTGCTTGGATATTTCCTTTGTCACATTTCAAGCAGAGAAGTTCTGCACAGACTAGACCCTGCCCTGTGATTTCTTTCTTATTCTTCTGTAAGAATTTAATTATCTATTCTCTGTGTGAAGAAAGCACCAGCATTCCCAGAGACCTGAGCCTCCTGAGCCTGCTTGGGCTGGCATTCGTCTGATTCATGTTCTTGCTTATTTTTGCTATCTGCCTGCAAACCAGAGTTCTCCACTTATAAATTCACGCTGGTTCCTATGATGCCCGCTAACTTTTAACTCTTGAAAACCTATTCCTCTCTTTGCTGCAGTGTCTATGAGCCGGATAGAAACGTGCTGCGAAGGAAAGAATGGGAAAGGAGAAATCAGGAGGCCCAGCAGGAGGATGGCGCGTTTAACACAAGTTACTCCCTCTTCAGTGAACCGTACAAGGTAGGTGCTTCCCAGCTGGGTGGCTCTTTATTTTTTTTTTCCACAGTACAAAAATGCAGCCTGTAGAAGGCATTGTCCAGGTTTCAGCACCCTCCCATAAGTGCTAACCTCACAAAATTTGCAGAGAACATTTACGGTTCATTGAGAATTGGATTGTATATATTTTTAATATATATATGTATGTATATAAGCTTCTTATAATGTTCAGCAACACATGGCAATGAAATAATCTAGAAATATCCTAACAGTATTTTAGATGAAATTAAAACTAGGAGGTGAAGGTGAGAGTGCCCAGTTTTTGCAACACTTGGAAGAAAACAATTGTGTTAGAATTATGTGTGAAGGTCAAGCAATACAGTAAACATTGTGCTCTGGACAAGGTTAATGCAATGAATTATCTTGGTGTTTGCTTTTTTTTTCCCCTCTATAAGCATTACCAACAAAATTTGTCTGCTGGGCATGTTTTGTCCTCACCAAAGGCAGAAGTAACTTATGAGTCTCAACTCCCTGTTTTATTCCTCATGGTAACAGTAGTGTGATGAGGCACAACCATCTCTCCCCTCTCTCTGTTAAAGGGTCAAGCAGGATCTTTCACACTTTGCAGAAGCCTGAAAACCAAGCCCTTATGAACATGACCAGAGAGCGGTATCCTGTGGGGGCTGCTCTTCTTCCCCAGCTAATCCTGTGACTTTGCCTGTATCAAAGCATTATCATGTGTCATCCACTGTGCCTTTCCAGTAATCCCAAAGTTACTGTTACAACCATCATGTCGTGAGGCCTTTCCCTCCACACAGCATCACTTGTCCTTGATGTTTTGGGTACACTAATGCCTCTCTCCAGGAGTCCTATTTGGGACCTGGCATATTCTGCACCTGACTTCTGTGTTTCTGCCTGTGATCCAGGGTCAGCTTTTAGCTTGCTGTTCTTCCAGATTGTTGTTTGCTTCTGGTCCCTAATAAAAAAGGAAGATCTCCCACTTTCAAACCATGTCCCCTGATAGAAGACAGCTCTGTCTGCCTTGAAGTTGACTTCCAGTTGCCTGAACTTCAGATTCATTACAAAGGCATTTAGAAACCATGGGAAATGTCTTGAACCCCTCAAGGCTCTACTTGAAAAAAGCCTACTGTGAGACCAATCAAGGGCTAATCCATGGAAAAAAGCCTGAACAGTTTAAGTCAGCTGTGTCTTGGCTTTTCATGAGGGTTCTGCTGCAATGGGGACTTAGTAAGTTTCCATTTGACAGGTCAAATCAAATAAACCCCTAACAAAAAGAATCTGCCCTTCTGCTGGGTTCCTGGTACCTTTTTGTCTGTGGTACCTGAAGTTGGTAATACTGAAGCTCAAATCACTTCTAGAAGTGACATAGTTGGAATATTTTGTGCACTTTGATCATTACCTGTGTGTCAATGTGCAGACTGTCATGGCACTGACTCTATATATCAGGGACACACCAGTAGCTTCTGAGTTATGATGTCTGAAGACACCTCTATGTAACCACACTATAATTCCATCAACTTTAGTAGGAGTGGATAAAAAATCATTGCCATCTCTAGAAGCAGAGAAGTTACTAAGTGGGTATCCTATGGAGGTATCAGAATAATGGCTCTATCCATGCATGCATATCCATGTATCTTTAAACAGTCTGTCCCTATTTTGGACAAGCGTATAAAGAAGCTGGCTTTGTCAAGAAAACATGGAGAAAGGCAAAGCCCAGGTCAGCTGCATAACTCACCCAGCAGTTCTGTTGGCATGGCAGTCACAACTGCTTGGGATGACCAGTCATTCTGATAGTGTTGGACATCAACTCGTCAGCTGTGGCTGAATGTCATGTCTATGCTGCCAATGGACTATTGCACTGTCTGAACTCATCCAAGCATTTGCGAAACTTCAGTGTTGGGGTGCAGAGCTGTGGCCTGGGCTTTTTGATCTTATCATGGAGAGAGGCTGATTGCAAAAGAGGAAACTTTTCTGCGAAAGCAAAACTAAAACCCCCTCTTACTGTCTTTAAAGATCATGTTCAAGTTTTAGGTGTTTCCAGAGGGGAATGAAGTTACACCAGATGTTCGCTGCAAACTCTGATTAAATTCAGTATTCCTCTGCACAGCCTGAGAAACATGAGCTAGAGCCAAAGGATTTTCCATTCAGAAGGCCATATCTGAAAATCAAAGGCAGACTGGAAATCTCTTAAATTTTATGTCCTCGCTCACCTTGACATGTATTGCTACTCCTGTAACATCAGATTTTCTGAAAAAACCTGACTCTTCAGGTTGCCCCTTATCCTTTTCAAAGTATCCATAGCAACCCTTTATGAAGGATTACAGGAAATCCAGTATCTTTTACTTAAAATGTCTTTTACAGGGGGTGAAAAGGTAGAAAATTCATTCTGGATATTTCCTGGGCAGAATACCTTGCCTTGTTAACCACATCGGTATTTTTAATGAAGCCTTCCTGATGGACTTCCATGCAACCATCAAGTTTATTTTTAGAAGTGTTGGATCTTGCAGTCTTCAACTGCATGGATTCATCTTGCTTTGCAGAAGAATATCAGAGCACTGTAGGTTAGAAATGTTTGCACTGAATGCTTTTCCTCCTTCCTTATTTTGTGATCATGTTTTCCCTATGTGAGTGATTAAATTAGGCCAGCAATATTTCAGAGCAAATAGTAGGACAAACTGCTACATCTAAAGCTCATAACAAGTTACCTCAGATCCCATCTTGTTCCCAAGAGAATGTAGGTGAACTCTTCTGGATGACATCAGCTCAACACAAAATTTTCCTACCAGTTTTTCAAGTTGTCCCCGTGTATCCAGAAGGAATAAACAACACCAACCACTTGTCAGCATGTTCCGTGGTACTGGGATTAGATTGGTTTGCTGCAATTATTTTTATGGTTATCTGGGATTTCTCAATATGAGGTGTCTCTGTGTGACCTTCACATTGCATCTATGTAGAAGACATTTTTCTGACTTTTCTGGGCTAGTGATAGCCTACATATAATCTCTAATTAGGCTTTTGTTTCCTTCCCATCCAAATATCAGTCATCAGAAAGAATGAACCTTCTGTTGGACTTCAGAAGGGCACACAAATTCTCTGACGTTCACAGATCTAGAGAGCTGCCCCACAAGCTGTCTGTGCTGTAGGAGACTTGTGGGTGTCAGGACCCCATTCCATTTGGTGGTCCCTGTCACTGTGCTCCTTGGCAGGGAAGGGAACCTCATACACATGCTGGCTGAATCAGGCTGGGCACAGGCCCAAGGGCAGATCTGCCTCCATAGAGGAAACCTGGAAAAATACGTCTCTACAAGGTATCTACATGAGGTGGAGGATCCACCAGAAGCATAGAGAGATCTGCTGGGTAAAAGGAAAATTTTCCATGCCTTCTGGAAAGTATTTCTGCTGGTCAAGGCAATGCCCCAGTGTAGAAGCCAATTCATTGACCCCAGGAGACACATGAGTGTAACTCCAACCTTCTTTCTTTTCAGATGTGCGTGATGCTTCACACTTTTGAAGCCTCATTAATAGTTTCCTCTTCATTAGGACATTGATGTGATTCCCATGAAGTGAAGGAACACCCTTTTTGTAAGCCACTTGCTGTCTGTGAATTAATGCTTCATATTTCTTTTCATAACAGGTTATTGTCCTTGTGACAACAACAGCTGTATATGCAGAGAAGATCAGGCTATAGTGGTTGAGCCATCTTATTCCAAATTTGCAATGTTTTGATGCAACACTTTTGAGTTTTTCCCTTACCACTTCTCTTCAATATATATTACTGATATATATTCAACTCTCTTAGTATTGTAACAAATGTATATGAGAAAGCTAGCTGTAATGTGTTTTACATAGTTACAAGGCAGTGTCCTTGAAATTTGAGGGGACAAGCAGTAAAGGACTACTTCTACTGTCTGACTTAGGAATACTTCCACTGTAGTCCTCTGAAAGTTGGCATTTGGCAATCACTGCACTCATGTACATGGCATTTTTGCTTAGATTCAGGTTTTTTAATAGAAAACCCTGAAAAAATATAAATTCTGAACTACAGGAGTTTCCCTTACATTTTTGTTTGAGTCACTCAATTTTTTGAAGACTTAAAACCAAAAATACTCCCAGTTTTCCAGAGTAACTACGGTTGCTGCTACATATTTCATATTTTTTAAATTTACCTTAACTTTAAGGGTATCTTCTCCACTCCCTTTATTTCTTTCTCCTTCTTTCTGTTTTCCTCTAAAACAGAGAGTCTTGAGATGAAAGCTTGGCCATCTGAAGCCAATGGGAGTTCTCCCATCCAGCCCCCATGTCTGGAAGAGAGAAAGGAGAACACCACTGGCTCATTACTGTCTTCCTCCGAAAACATAAAGCAAAGAACATCACACACCTGAATCTTGGCAAGGTTCAGAAAAATGTCTGCTGCATAAATGCTAATGATACATCCTTTTGCTTACAGTGGCTTTTTAAAGCAAGAGTTTTCAGTCTTTCCCAGTATATTTTATTTGCTTGTTTTATTTATTTGTGGAGCTTATGCCTTTTCAGTCAGGAAGTAAATGGATAACTTTGAAAGCAATGATTAATCTTAAAGAGGAGAGAGGAAGGCCGTGTTCCCCCTGCTGCACACAACAAGCACTGAGCAATGCGAAGAATTTGGGGGCTTCTGTTCACCTCTGTTTTTTAAAGAGGAGAGTGCCCTTTTTTCAAAGAAGGGATGTAATAATCTGTAGTTTTCCCATTGTCCCACGAGCTGTCTTCAAGTCACCTCAGAATATTTGGTTGGCTTAGACTGGTGAATTCATTTAGTCTTACACTGGATATTGTGTGGCTTCACAGATGCCCTGTGAAAACTTAGGCAGGCAGAGAAGGAAATTGAGAATGCAGTGTTTTCATTCATGGATGAAGGAAAGCTTGCACTGGGCTATAGGATAAGTTTTTTCATGGTCAGATTTAATCCAAACCATTCTGTGCAGTTGCAATAATAAATTTTCTAGTTTCCAGGTAATATACTTTAACTACAGCATGATACCAGTGATAGATTTCTTTTTTTATATACTCTAAGGCCCTTTATAGCTTTCCCAGTTCAGGGTAGATTTAAGATGTTGACAAGTGTCTTCAGAGACAATAAGGATTTTCGATTTCATCCCTCAGCACCACTGCTGAATAAGCCAGTGCTACTTCAGTTAGGATTCCAGCAGGACCATGCAGGGAATTTTGTTTTTCTGACATTGACTGTTGCAGAACACTCTATTTTTGTTTTGCAGACTAACAAGGGGGATGAGCTCTCAAATCGCATCCAGAATACACTGGGCAACTATGATGAAATGAAAGACTTGTTAACTGACCGATCAAACCAGAGCCACCTTGTTGGGGTTCCAAAACCTGGGGTTCCTCAGACGTCTCTCCCCAAGCCTGATGAACATCTTCTTGCAGACTTGAGACCGCCACCTCCTCCTCCCATTTCCAGCACTACTTCTTCAACACCAGCAGCACTACCTGCCCAGCAGAGCAAAAGTGTCACGATGGCTTGGCAGAAATCTGGGCACAATGCCGCTTTGGATGGCCAGCAGAGAACAAGCAAGCATGGCCACCGGTCGCTGGAGTCACACAAGGGCGACTTCAAACTGGTGAACCAAAAATCCAGCCTGGAGAAACTAAAACGCTATGCATCCAGTCCCACCTCCTCCTCCACCTCCTCCTCCAATGCTGCCCAGCAAAGCTCACTGAGGGCCACGCTAGGGGAAAATGTCAACAGAGTGCAGCAGTCGGCAAAGCTCAACTGTACCTCGGAAGGAGGAGCTCAGGTGCAAGAGAGGGCAGCAAAGCACGGTGGTGGGCACTGCGTCCAAAACTTCCCACCCTCTCTTGCTTCGAAGCCCAGTCTGGCTCAGCAGAAACCGACAGCTTATGTAAGGCCAATGGACGGTCAAGACCAGGCTCCTGATGAATCTCCAAAGCTGAAGTTACCAGCAGAGACGACCAAGTCGTACAGGGGAGTGCCTTCTAACAAGCCTGATTCGGCCAGGACCAAGTCAAAGATAGCCAAGTTCAGCATTCCTAAGCAAGAAGAGGTAAGTGCTTTTATGCTTTTTATGACATCCCTCTCTGGATGGATGATGGTGGCTTATAACTGCAAATTGCATCTGTCTCTTTGCACATTTTAAATATATTAGTTTGCACGTTTCATATTTTTGGTAACATTGATATACTGATCTTGCAAATATCAGCCTCACAGTAATGTAAAGATATCTCAAAAGTGAAATACTCACTATCTTCAGGACTGCATCTCCTACAATTGCACTAACAGTATGTATTATTTCACTGTCTTTTTTCTCTTTTTGTCCATATGTAAAGTCTGGATATTTTTAATTCAGATTTTTTTTGTTGTTAGGCTTGGGAAGTACTTCTATCCGTTCATATTTAGTTGACTTTTTTCTCTTTGGCAATGATTAAATGAAGTGCTCGTGATCAGAAGTAGTTCTGCCATCCTCAGTGATGTCAAAGTAGTTTCACAATCTAAATAAATTACTTAAACAATATGAGATCTGCGGAATGGATAAGAATATAGCAATGAGACTCTTCTTTTAGCTTATAGTATCTGTTTCTGTTTCAAACTGATTTAAGGATTGAGGCTTTCTTCCTGAAGAATCACCATCTGTAGAAACCATGCTACAGGAATGCGAACATGTCTGAAAAAGCTTCTAGACATTTCTATTATCAGCAGTAGATAGGAAAGATTTCTGATTGGACTTATTTTATGTTCATTTATTTCACATTCCATTTATGCCAGTAGGACACCTTGCTTTATCACCTATACAGCCTGTGAATTTCTGTTTGAGTATTTTGATGGGGAGGAACTAGTTGGTTTTGACAGAATGAAGGGTTATAATTTTTCTTGGGTGTATTTAGAGGCCTGTATGCCAATACAAAGATGGTCACATCGTCCTTTAGTGCAAATTGGTAGAGCTCTCATGACTTAAACAATTTATAGTATTTATAGGACTAAATGACTTTATTTGGCTGCATCACTGGAACTTTCTCAGAGCAGAGATAGTGATTATTTACTCTTATTTGACAGCTGTGTCTTGAGATATTTTTAGTCTTTACATTTTTGTTTCTGGCATTGTTAAAGGAAAGGAAAAATCTATTTTTTGGTAGAGTTCTCTGGCCTTCTAATGCCTGTTTTTCAGAAATGGAGTTGACTGTTGTATTCCCCCTTCGGTTTGGTTTGGGAAAGAAATCTCGCTGGAAGCAATTACTTCTCTCAGCTCTTCTAGGCATTATACTCATGTGGTTTTTCTCTAAGTTCAAGTTCCATCGTTTCCAAACAACACAGAGGTGATATGTTGTTCCTGAAAAGAAGTTGTTTTAGGCTCTTAAGCCAGATTTGATCAGCAAATTTAGCATTCACAAACTGCTCTAATTGTGCAGTTAGATCAGGTAATGGCAGATACTAATATGCATTTAGGTATTATAACCTCTTTCAGACTTGTGCTTCTATCTGCAAGTAGGAAGCATTGTTAGAATTAAAGATGCCTGTGGCAATTGTCTGATCTTTCAGATTTCCCCCCTTTATATGTATGCAATGCTCTAAGGACTAGTTTGGAAAGGAGTTTTGATAGGCAATCATTTGTTTGTCTGAAATTCGGGTTTTACCATTTGCATTCCAAATTTGCCTACCTCAGGAAAGAAAGCTTTCATTTGTTGTATGTAATCCATACTCATACAGAAGGGTACATTTATACTGCAGTTTCTAGACATGTAGAAGTATTTGAGATTCCTTTAAACTCACCTGTTTAAATACTGATGACAATGCAGGCTGGGGTAGGAGAGAGTGGACTGCAGGGTAGCTCCTGAAGTGTTCACCAACTTCTTGCAGATTTTGTGGGATGCAGTATTTCTGAAACAGCATGTGATAGCATAGTGTAAACATTTAGCTGGACTTGAAGGAAGTGGGTAAAAAACATTGTCTGGTAGGTTAAAAAAAAAGCAAAGTGATTATAAAAATTATGGACATGTTACTAAGAAAACAGCAGATACTGTAGGTGGTGGTGGAGTTTGAAGCTTGAGCTGATGAAAGACAATGTTTAGATATTGTGTTGGAGGGCTGAGAGTCCTGGTGATAAAAGTGCCCAGCTTTTTTCCCTTTATCCTGACATTTCCTTTGTTCTAACATTTTCCATCTCAAGTGGTACACAATGAAGTTGGTAACCCACTGCTGTTGCTACAGGGAGAAGTATTGACCAAGACTGAAAGTTTTTTTCAGTCACTATTACCTAATCCACCCTGCCTTTGATTTTCAGTCATACTTCTTTTTATTTCAAAATGTTTTTCCATTCTTGTTATTTGTATCATACATCTCTTAGTACAATTTTGTAAGAATTTCCACACAATTTTTAAATTGCTGCTTTCAAACTTACAAAACTTGCCCTTTGCATCAAGTGTTCACTGTCCCCTATTAGGGACAGAAGTTTTAAGCTGCTCTCAGCACAGAAGCCGTCATGATCCTGTGAATATCTGCAGGCAAAATGAGGCCTTTCTTGTTCAGGGTGGGGCTAAAGGTGATGGCCAGGACGACCATGTATCCCTCGTGGTCATGGGATGGCCAGAAGACTAGGGATGCCATGTAGACTGATGATGATGAGAGAAAGCAGGCTGGCAAGCAGGTGAGAGCAGTGTCTGGGAAGGTATATGGAAACAACTATATTTTTCCAGCCTGTCAAGCTCCTTCCGTGGCAGCACGACTCTCTGGTGTATCACCCCCTCCTCCCAGTTTTTGTATCCTCTCCAAACTTGCTGAGGGTGCACTCTGCCTCATCATCCATCCAGGTCATTAATGAAGATGTTAAACAGTATAGTCCCCAGTACTGACTGTGGGGATACACCGCTAGTGACTGGCCTCCAACAGAACTTTGTGCGACTGGTCACCATCCTCTGGACAATTTTTATAGCCTTTGCTTTCTGTCTGCAGGCCTAATTTTGCAATTTGTCAATTTTTTTGCCACTTTCAGCTCTTTAAATGTGTTCATAGTGATACTGTGGTCCAAAACCTATACTTTTTAACTTGGCCTAGACAATTCTGCAGGTGTTTAACTGAACTGAAAACTGAACTGCAGCAGGCTGTGAGGGAAAAGATGCAAGCAGGGGAAACAAGATGTGAGCATAGGGTGTAAATGTGAGATAAAAGATGAGACTCAAAGGAAGAAAAACTGGGAGTCAGGAGGCAGAGAAGATGCTGCCTAGCTTGACAAAGTAGAGAAGTGAATGGTAAAAAATGATCATTTCCCCAACTCCTGCAGAATAGATTTCCTTTTAAGGGTCACATGAAGTGAAGAACACCTCTGTGGAGTGTTTGTTTTATTTTGAATATCAGGTGGCTATAAGCAGCTTCAACTTTCACAGAGAAAATGAGGAAACAAGAATATATTGTTATAAATCTCCTGATTTGCAAGTCCACTTATTAATGCATTCAAGTTGAGTCCTCTGCTTCCATGCACTTGCATTTGGGTTATAGTACTTTCCAGAGTCTATCAGTATATCTAATATCTATGCTTTTTCATTTGTGTTTACCAGTTTGAAGGAGACATCAGTGGAAAAATAAACACATAATGAAACAAAGTTAAGCCTCCTTGTAAGAACTGAAGAATAAGACGCGATGTCATGCGAAGTGTGTGTGTCTGCAGTATGATACAAAATCCTCTTCTGTACATCCCTTGAGGTTTTCAGAGAAACAGGGCACAAAGTTGGCTGCAGTACAATTATTATTCACTGGAAATAATATCACTTGAATACAAATTATAGACCATTACTTTTCAATACATGAAAAAGGTTGATTTTTAATGTAGTTCAATACCTCATTTAATATTTTTAATCAGTTTTGGAAAGCCTTCAATATCTTGACACAGACTGAAGCTTACAATTTTTTTTAATTGTTTTAATGAGAATAACTTGCATAGACCTGCGTGCGGAAAGGTGGCAGTTACTCATTTGGAAATTTAATCTTTAGGAGCCAGGTTCATCAGTGTTAATTAGAATCCATACCCAACCTCCCAGTCCTTCCAAAATTATTGTACTGCTTTGTGGAAATGATAGCTCGTCATCTCAAGTACTGCTATTTCACATTTTGAACTACTTACAAATTATATTGCTGTAGGTAAAAACCTACTGTACTGAATATAAAGGAAGAGAAATGTGATACCGGGATGTAGAGGAAAAGAAGCAGGAATATCAAGCGCCTCTCTTTTCTAAAATTTTGTTGAGTGAGACAGTAAGAAAAACCTAAGATGGCAAATGATGTCCTTTGCATCTGAGTGCTGTTTTTGAATTTCATCTTATGGGCTGCATGCTGCTTTTTTATTATATTGAAGAAGCCTTATCTATTGTCCTTTGCTTACTTCTCTAAGGGTTATGGAGGAAGGAAATCGAAGTTGTATTCAAGAATGACTAGCAGTCTCATGGTAAAAAGGATAGATTTGGTTCTGTTAAATTTGGGAACACATTTATGTGAAATGTAGATAAGGTCATCATGAGGACATGTTCTTATTCCACTTCACAGAGTACTTACACAACTTCTTCTGCAGCAGAAGTAATGCACAATAGATTAAATGTTAATTTTCTTTTTTTTTTTTTTCCCATTTCTGCCCTGATCTTACTCAGGCAAAGTCCTATTTGCCTGGATAAGAAACCCTCTGCAGTCATTCTTGTTCGAGTGGCTATATATAGCTACCAGCATCTGGCACACACACTGGCAAGTGTTCTTTAAATCTGCAATCCTTTTTTTTTGCCTATCAGTTCTATCCCCATACATTAATGGAAAGCAAAATAAACCCCACAACTCTTTCCTTCCCTTCCCCCCCCCACCCTCTCCACCCCCCGAAAAAACCCCCTCCTAAATATGGACGTAATATCAGTAATTTGTTCAAAACCAGACTCTTAAGGAGAGCTTTGGTGCATAGCACCTATAATAAGTAGTTCTATTCCAGTTTAAAATTGAAGCTGGAAGTTCATGTGTGAAAAAAAGAAGTGCATCTACATCTTATTTGACAACAGAAGCTCCAGCGTAGACTAAATT